TCAGATATCATTTCATCCGTCAATGGCGGCCTGATTACCAATTGTATAACTCCTTTTTTTGCAACTCGCTCGTTCAGTCTCTCCCTCGCGCCGACACAATGGTCGCTTTCGGGCCGATCGTGCGGTCCGAGAGTGAATGCTATGCGCGAGCATGACGGCATAATATGCTTCGGAGGATGCCTGTCAATTTTGCAGCTCGCGGCCGTAAACACATGACCATTTCATCGGAGATAAAATTTCAATGTTTGGCGGCTAATTTGCCTCGCGCGGAACATGGCGAAGTGCAAAATTACATTACGGTAACGTTTTAGAGAGTGCTTCGTGTATCGTGTATCGGTTTGTTAGTTGATAAAAATCGCAATGTTATTAAACTCAATTGCACGTTGCTTGAAAAGACAAGCGGTAGATAAAAATTGGAGAGAGTGACTTTTTCACAATTATATTAAAGCGAATATTGAATTTTTATTGATAGCGATTATGATCTCTTACATTTCACGCCAATAAGCAATTTTTTTGTGTATGCAACAAACAAACAAATAATGGAAAATAAAGAAAAACATAAAAAATGTTATAGATTGTTTGGAAAGAATATCTACAATAAGTATATTTTATTATAATTGAATTATTTGTGCACATAATTCATAATCTTTTTAAACTAAAATAATAAATTTTATTTACGATCTTTTCCGGTCTCAAAGCATACTTATAAAAATATGTATGCATGAATAACAAATTTTAATATCGCATATAACTCGAAGTTTTATAGAGGATCGGCTTGAATGGAGTAACGCGCTCTAAAGTTTGCAGCGGCTACTGTGTGAAACAAGAGACATGCGTGTATATGCATATATGTGCAAATATACATAGTAATATTTTAGTTTCATTATTTCACATTGATTATACGTTACGTTAAACATTATTAAGTGTAAACGTACTGTATAACGTACAAACGTAATAGAATGTTAATGTTATGCATACCCTGGAATATAAAGATCTGAAATACAAGAGAGTGTGTATAACACAAAAGACAATCTTACATTTCAGATTTCTCGCAGAACTGAATTCCTTCATACAAAGTTCGCGGTGGAATCAGTGGGGAAATCACCGCGCTGTATGTGGGGAAATCACAGCGTAGCTCCTACAGTAAGTAATGTCTAATTTAGAAACATGACAATCTACGATAATGCCAGCTTTACTGTTTAAACATAAATTTTCATCACATTAATATCGATTAGTACTCTTCAATGTATGTCGAGGGATTTAGTATATATATTATAATTTATTAACATAAGAGAAAAAGAAGCATATCTAAATATACACGTAAATATGCATTTAATCATACGTATTCTAGTCTTTTTTTTTAATATTAATCTTTATGGAAAAATGATATGATTCATCGTTTTTTCTCTTTCTCTTTCCATTTATATTTTCTCTATCTACATTTTTACAATCTTACATTGTAGTAATCTTTTTTTATCTGTATTTGTGCATTTCTAGCGATCGTTTGATCACTCGATGGTATTTCCGATAGGATAGTTCCACGTGCCAATTCACAATACGCACCGGGCCAGCACATCCCCGTCGCGCGCCCGCACTTATTTATTTTTGCATTAATCTATTTTTATTTTATTTGCCGACGGAAATCCCGGCTGTCGCCGGCTGCGCCGCAGCCGCGTCGCGTTGCATCGCGTCAACTGTAAACAGAAAGCCATGCGGCATTGCGGCAATCCTATCACGTATGCGCGTGTCTACGTGCACGCGCCGTTCATATGCTCGTCGGAGCAAATATGGTAATGCATTCACGCGAAATGTTTTCACGGGGCTTTCTCGAAATACCAAGTCCGCGCGTGAGGCTTCCCTAACGGTTTACAAACAAGCTTGATCGCTCTAGATGGTGGCGCGGGCAACCCTCACCACTTCTGCCGCGCGTTTTCGGTACCGCATACATACCGGAGCGTTGCAAATGCGCGCGTGTGCGAGAAGGGTGAGGCATACATTTAAAAGCTACGTCATCGTCTAATTTTTTTTACACGATTTGTTCGACGTATTATACTATTGTTCGAAATTAGTTTGTGAAAAATAATTTCGAAATAGCGAATAATATATTTTAAATTCGCGTCAACGCGATTTCGATTAAAGATAAACCGGTATGTATATGCGCGATCTTTCTTTTTTTTATATATGAGTTTGGGCATGTTTATTCATTTGGATATTTATTTTTACTAAAAATAAAGGTAAAAGTTTTCGCTAAAGCTTTTATAACTTCGCACACGGATATGCAAATTTAAATATTTCTGGATAGATCTAGATTGTAAATAAATCTAGATTGTAAATGAATATTCTACGAATTCATCAATTCCGTAAGCGGAGCAATTTCCAAGAGCCGAGAGCTGTATTTTTGCGCCACATTTCGTCAAATTGAGATCTCGCAATTCTCCACGAAATTCAACGGTGGGTACAATAAAGTAATGTCAATATTACCGCTGCTATTATCCTAATCGATGTTCGTGATAGTAGCACCGAGGGCTTACACAGATCCGATCGGAGACCCCATCAGGATGGCTCCGTTACATTCATGACCCTGGTGCGGCGATTACGGTCGATGATCCGTGGTGAAATAACCCTCGGTTCCAATCATTTCTCCACACCAGGACCGCAAGGCCAGATGGGTCGTGGCAGAGTTGCGAAATCCTCGGCTAAGCCGCGATCGGGACGACGCGTTTGAAGTCGGCGGCGGGTCGAATCGGAGGTTCACGGGCCATCTGTTGTTAAACGGGGAACGTGCGTCGAGCTCTAATACCTATCTTACATTACGAAATCATCGATGACGAAATCCTCTGGAGCAATTAGCTGGAAAGCGGCACAAATCCGGAGGTGACCGTCCCTCACTCATATCGCGGATCAATAGCCTTTGTGATACGACATTAGCTATGAGATTTGAAATTTCCAATAGCTTCACTTGCGCAATAGATAATGAGTTATGATAATCGTGAGTATATTTAAAAGATATGCATTTATCATATTTCTCAGAGTATTTTCAGTGAATTTCAATTTTTTTGTCAGATTAGCAGGTGAGATTATTACAATGGAAAATTCCTGTTTAAAATTTAAAACATTTTTAATTTTCTCCATTCTGATTTCATTATAAACGATAAAAATGTAGCATTTATATTAGACGTTTAAGTCGATCAAATTTTATTCTATATACGGACTACATATTTTCGGAATTCCTCTTGTCATTTTCATTATCTGACGGATAATTCTCGTTTTATTCGTTTTATTCGTTCCAACACACACACACACACACACACACACACATATATATATATATATATACATACATACATACGTACATACATACATACAATACATACATACATACATGCATGCATACATACATACATACATACATACACGCGTATATACAACATTTTATATATGTGCATACACACGCGTCGCGAGACTTCACGGAACACAAATACATCGGCAGTCATTCATCGATAGACGGAATAGATGGCACGGCCAAACGATAGCTCCGCGCAAATGTCGGTGTCTGTTGCGCATGCTGTTCGCGGGAACGAGATAAAGATATTGTGCATATTGCGCGATATTATGCGATGGATGATGTACCACGCGCCGTTACTGCCTTCGTCATCGCGCCGCACGGTAAATTCGAGCGCAGCCGCGCGCGTATTTGCTCTCGGGAGCGACGATATCCGCTCACGCGTGCCACGCTCGCGGTACGCTCTGATTATCAACGAATAATTCCTGCGAACGACGCGCTGTAGCGTGCAAATTTGCCGACAGAACGCCGCGCCCGGCCCGTCGAAAATCATTCTGGCGACGCGCCGGGCGACGCGCGCGCGGGGGAGGTTGGAAGCAGCCCCGTTGAAAAAAAAACCCGCTTTTCGCTTATCCCTTGAACTTTGATCCCCCGTGGCGTGCCGCTGACAGGTTGTTCAATGTTTGCTCGATCGTTTGTCCTGCAGACCGGTATTTGGTTAATCAGCGAGTTAGTTGTCCATGGTCGAAATTCCCGCCGTCGTTTCTCCCGCCGTGTCCCGCCCGTTTACATGTAACGCGCGTTTCTCTCCATTTCTCTCTCGCTCTCCACCTGTCCGTTAGTTTGTTTATCTCTTTCACGGATAGGGTCTCGCTGGACTATGGCTGATCGGAATTTATCGAACGTGTTCGTGCGTTCACGCGTGCAAATATCTGCTGCGTGTCGAGCGATTTGGTCCACACTTCAGACGTTCTCTTTGTTTGATGACAGAGACACCGACAGATTTTTTTCTTAAAAACGATATGTGGAATGCAATTTACTTTGAAATCCAAAATGAAAAAACTGACTATTCCTCTTCATCAGAATCATATATATTGATAACTTACAATATATTTGATAACTTATTAGAAGACAATAAAATATTTTTTAAATATATATCATCATATATCTAAAATAAATTATATCTTTTATTAATTAATTAATTAAACAGATTAAATTATTATAATATTATGCGGATGGCTTTTTGGCAGTTTGATAAATGTCTTAAAAAATAAACTTTAATTTTTATTTACGAAGGACTGAAATTTCCGAACTAAGAGGGAGAAAAAATAAATCGCTAAAATTTGCGCATGAAGCTTTCTAATCTTTACAATATCTAAACAATGTAGTCAACATTTGCACGCTCAGATAGATAACCTAATCCGATCTCCTGCGACTTCACTGCGTACATCGCTTGGTTTCCCTGTCCGCCCGAAAACCAAGCGCGTCCTCTCGGCTTCCGTCGTTTCCTCCGCGTCCTTCGATGTGTGTACGAAGTTAGTGAGTTTGCGTAGTTAGCGTTACTTGTGCATTAATTGAGGATTACAACAGCAACGAGATATGAGGGGTGGAAGTACTGGGGGCGGGCGGGTTGTACGGCGGTAGGTAGAGTTGGCGGGGAAGTCGGAGGTTGGGAGGATGAAGCGATGGGGAGGATAGGATTGAGAGGGGAGGGCAGCACCGCGGCGGAGGGTTGGATGCGGAGGAGTTGGTCGACAAGCGTGAGTACAAGCTCAAGCGCAGGCTTCGGTCTCAGACTCTCAGGCACATGGTAACTTTCCTAATCACCGTACGAAGCCCCGAGGTAGTCATCCGCTCAGCCATCATACCGCCATCTAAGTACAGCAGACACGAAAGCTCGATTAGAGACGTCGAAATCGCGTGCGGCATACGCGGATACCTCTCTACTGGATACGTACCTATCTCGATCGCCGACTCGTAAGTTCAAGCTCTTCGTGATCACCGGCGCGACATAAAAGGAAACCGGTCGCGAACAGTCAATACGTGTCCTCGATTCGGCAGATCGAGGAACCAGTCCAAGAACAGTCTTTATCAGAAAACATACTTTTACAACAGCACGCTTCGTACATATGTCGCATCGCGTTCTGTCAAAGCTATCTCCGTAGAAGTTTGTATGCTTCACGGATTGCTATTGGCCCTTTCTAATGTAGTTCAGTTAATTGACTCCGATTTTCGCGTGGGTTAACGTGATTCGCTGGTCTCTTAGGACGTTAAATAATTAAATTGAGCAAATTAAATTGTTGAGCTAATCTTCGATCTTAAGTCGAGAAAAAGATATATATATGCATATAATCTCTCTCAAAAGATTTTATACTTCTTGGAGAAATATTACGGAATACTTTGCAAATTATACATTTGCATATTTGAAAGAAATAATATTTATTCAATTTTTTAATTCTTGCCATTAATTAAAAATTTTTTTAGAATATTATATTAAATTTAAGACATTAATTTAATTTTGATATTTTTAATTGTTAAAATATATCTTTTTGTCAAAGATATACAAACAATATGTAACGTCACTCGACTTAAGAATATAATGTTTGCATATCATTTAGATTCTCTAATGGAATATATACCAACCATAATCAGTATAGTACTTTGAGGAGAATGAAGAGAATCTTTGAATTAGAAAATATTTGATCCTACAAAGTAAAATCTTTGTACTCTTCTACATTTCGCGATATGTTTGCATATATGATGAAAAACTAATTTTTCATAAAATTTTTCTTTGTTTTGAATAAGTTTAGCGTGTGAGTGCATGTTCGAAATATTGAACAAACAATAATATGAAAATATGTTGGTATATTATCATATTGACATTATTTTTATTTTTATTTTTATATGATATTAAGTAATTGTACTTATACAAATATTAGTTGAAAGAATAATAATAAAGTAGAACATAACAGAGATAACAATGTTGAATCCTATTTAGGAAAATGATGAACACTAATTAGATATTATAACAAATTCTCATTCTTATTCCTTAATGAGTTTTAATGAGAAAATTTGCTGATTATTTAGTACATTATTGTTATTATTATAACTTATTAATCTGACTGTAAAGCAAAGTTTGCTGTTTGCACCAAACGGCACGAGATGGCTCGTTCATAAAATAATGACTGCTTCCTTTGTGCTATTTCTCGACATCTTCTGCATTTCAACATTTCGAGAGAAAGAGACAAAGTACTCGTAATAACTAAGTACTTCGAAAGTACGAAGATAATATTCGTATTGTTACGGGGCTGCGTGCATAACGTCAAAATGGAGACAAAAAGTATAATACAACCGATACAAAACTGAAAGAGAATGAATCGTTACTGCACGAGAAATACGATCTGCGTTTATATAACCATCTCGTGCTAGTTCTTAAAACCGTTAGAGATACAGAAGCTCTGAATAGTTGCGTTAAAACTATATTGAAGTTACGAACTTTCAAGATATTTTATATAATGAGTCGTGGCTGCATTACGGTAAGATCAGCTTTAAACTTTTGGATATGCTTACGAATAAACGATATTACGTAATCCGCTGTAAAAGCAAAAATTTTTTGCGATCGTTTCAACGAGCTAAAACTCCATGAATATAAGACAGACTGAATGTTTAACGTGAATTATTTTTGAGCAATGTCTTGGAATTATACTCTTAATCTTGTATGAACCTCTAAATTCAAGATTTTTTTTAATTAAAAAAAAAACATCTCAAATTTAGAAATACTATGCAATACAAGATAAAAAGTGTATTATTTTTTGACAGTTAACGAACTTAAAGTCTATCTCGTCTTAACTTACGATATCTTGAAAAATATTAATTTTATAAATTTGGACTCTGTACATCAAAACGATAGTGACTCATTGGAAGACTTTGAGTTAGGAAAAGAAAATGTAGTTTGATTTTAAAGCATGGATATTTCGGTGCTATTTTCAACCGGTCGGTTCTTTGGTAAAAGCCTTCTACCGAATTTAGAAGGTAAACGTTACTCTTATCTCGAGGAAATGTAATCTGTTCCTCCCTTATTGCATTTGGCGCAAAAAGAGATTTTTAAGTGCAGCAAAGAAGGTATAATGGAAACTAGGGATGGGCGATTTTTTCAAAAGTATCGATTTTTTGGATCGATTTAGATCGAACACTTAAAAATCGATTTACCAAAAACTTGACTGTCAAAGAATCGATCTTTTTATCTAATTTTACAAAGGCTGTGTTTCGAAATTCACCAGTATTGAAAATCTATAATATACGTGATCTGAATTACATGTTTTCAGTACTGGCAGTGAGTATCGAAACGCAGCCTACATGGTATTATTTTTTTTTTATAAGTACACTTTTTTTATAATGACAACATAATGACAATATTTTTGTACGAATACAAAACATCAATATTTATTCGTTAATATATATATTTATTGCTTATTTTTGATAAATGTGTGTGTGTGTGCGCGCGCGCGCGCGCGCGTGTGTGTGTGTGTGTGTGTGTGTGTGTGTGTGTGTGTGTGTGTGTGTGTGTGTGTGTGTGTGTGTGTGTGTGTGTGTGTGTGTGTGTGGATGCAGGTATGTAGGTATACGGAGAACGGCTAGTTTGGTGCCATAAGTAAGAGCGAACCGTTTATTCAGCAGCTTTTGCGCGGTTACGCGACAAGTCCGAAGAGATCCGAAAGGACGACGTGCCCTCCGGGCTTCCTTCCACGCTCTAATCCGTAACACTTTGCAATTTTGTGAAGTCAAGCTTTGGGGCTCGTTTCGTGATGTAACACATCACTGGGATCGAAGTTTGATAATGGCTCCAGTTAAGTTTTAAGATTGAAGATTATATGCATTTTAGCTTATTATAATTTTCATTTGTGCACTGTAATAATAGAATGATAGATAGTAATTATGATAATTTTTTAAATAGTAATTTTATAGTAATTTTTCTTAAATTTAGAGCACAATTTATTATTTCAATTTATACTGTTTTAGAAAATAATTAAAAAAAATTTATAAAAATTATAAAAATTAATATTAAGAATACTACAAACTACAAATATGTTAAATTTTAAGTATGTGAAAAATTTATATAATTTGAAATATATAACATATCATATTTTCATGACATCATGTTATAATGTGTAAATTATAATAAAATGTAAATTATAATAAATATATTGTATTATATTACGTGTCGTGATGACAATTTCTTTTGAAGTCGTATTTTATGAAGCATCGAGAAGCAGTACTGCGATGTCAACGCAAAATCGATCTGACTCGTATGAGAATTGTACGAATGCATTACGATCGTTTGGAAAGCGACTCCGACGAGAAAAAAGAGAACGGTATTGAGATAGAGGATGTTCCGATGGATCCGTATATCAAATCTGACATTTCGCGTTTTACGTGGAACGGGTGCTCGCGCGCGCGCGCGCGCGCGCGTGTATCGGCCGCAGGGTATGTAGGGCATTCCATTCGAGGCGAAATCGGTCCAATTATACATCTATCGGATATGTGATTACTCAAAAAATATTTATTGGTGCCTATTCGCCGTTCTTCGTTCGTACATCAGTATCCAGATTACATTTTAAAGGCAATTTTCACAACCCCGGTCCGGACTAATTCACTCTTGCCGACACATCGCGCATGAGTGGGAAAGAAGCGAGGGCCGAATTGATGGCAATATTAAACTTCCCGCACCAAGTATCAACGTTACTCCCCAGTCTTCTCTGCACAGAGACGCATACAGATACACACGCATACAGATATAAACACATATGTATACGTGGTTGTCTCGATTTTCATGTATAGATTCGATAGCGAACACTCGCTGGAGGCACTTGTTTGCAGTGTCCGTCAGCGACGGGGGGTATAGGATGAAAGCCCACTCGGGGTAGCTCGATGCAGGAATACCTATTGAAATTCTTTAATTAACCCTCACGGCATCTCCTTTCCCGTATCCGCGCGCAGCTCCGTTCAAAGGAGCAGAAGGACTGAGCAGCAGATTGATCGTGCTCAAACGATGTGTAAATTAATCGCAAGCAGCAACGGCGTAAGCGAATATTTCCTGCTTACACACATATTAGTGCGAGTCAATGTTAGATCTGTGATTGCGATAGGTGTGTGTATATATATATATATATAGGTATGATGCGTAACTTAGCAAAAATATATCCATGTGCTCAAATTCAAGGAATGAATAATCTCTGATTACGAGATTTTCTGAAATTCGACTATCCACGTCGACGTGCTGCCGTCATTTGTAATTGCGCGGACACGATGATTTAATAGTACGCTTGGGTTACTGGATTTCACGACGCAGTCAGATTTTATAGTTTGCACAGTGGAGCGATATTTCCGTCAATATTAAACGTCATTGCAGCTTCATTGGCATTAACTAATGTTTGACGACATTAATCTATTTTAGGTAACCGCAGACCGTAGCAATCATAAACCATTTTGCATACAAACCATTCGCATTAGCGGCTGTTTTGAAATCGTTTCGTAATTTATAACATATGACGAATGATAGGAGGGTTTCACTTACGCGAGGAGGTAAGCGCGCTTGGTTGATTTATGACTAACACCCTATTCCCGTAATTTATATCCATAAGCAGTGCTTTCCGAGATTACAGCAGTAAAGTTTTTGTAATTATCATATCAAGTATTAAAATTAAGGGAGAAACGATAGCAATTTTCATGCGTGTTGAAAGTTCCCGTTAAAGAAATGATAATATAGTTATAGTACGGTTTTAAAGCTTAATGTAAAAACCATATACAAGGCAGAGAGAGAGAGAGAGAGAGAGAGAGAGAGAGAGAGAGAGAGTGTGTGTGTGTGTGTGTGTGT